TAATTGTCAAAGTTCTGAAAAAATTGATTTTTACAATCTTTAACACTGTTCTCACTGATTTTATGGAGAAGCAGATTTTGGGAGCCCTTGCTCTGCCATTCTGTAAATGCTTTCAACATCTTCATTAGAAACTTATGAGAAATTCTGAGAAATACCCACTCAGCTAAGCCATTCCTGAAAGCCTGACCCACAGGAAATGTGAGAATAAATTTGTTGTTGTTGTTGTTGTTGTTGTTGCTGTTGCTATTGTTGTAGTTATTATTGTTTTAAGCCACTAAATTTGGGAGTAATTTGTTTTGTGCAGCAGATAACATGCCAACAGATAGACACCAACACTAGGAACAACAGATGAATTTTCAGAGTATGGCTTAACATAGGGTGGAACTTCCTGATCCTGAAGATTGTCAAATATTAGAGAAGGTAATGACGTTCACTGGAGATGTGTGAGCAATAACGGAGGATTCTGTTAGAAGACATACTGTCAAGGGAGCCCAGCTTAAGTAAAATGAAGTACTGGGTTATCTACAGAGTCCTTTCCAAAATGATACTAATGATGAAAACAACTTACATTTGCACAAAACTTTATAGTGTACTAGGAGCTTCCATACAAATGATCTCCCTTAATCTTAATCCTAATCCTAAGAGGGAGGTCAGGCAGGAGCATAATCCCTACTTTACAGATGAGTACAGAAGCTCATAGAGGTACCAAGTCTTGTCCAAAGTCAACAACAGTAAAGTGGTAGAGCTGGGATTTTTAACTCAAGGAGGAATCCTGATTCCAACTGGTGGTGACTTTCTCCACACCATGCTGCCCACTTATTCTAAAGAATCTGGGTGTCCAGGTTTCCCCATCTAGACAGTGTATATAGATATAGACTCTACTCAATTTGTGGACTTCCTGAAAACCCAGTCCCAGCGTTAATCCTGTCCTAGGGCCTAGAGATAAAGGAAGATTTCACGCAATATGTGTGTTTTAGGCCAAGGAAATCCTAACTTTTAATCAATCAGCCACTCCCATTCCAAGCTGATCTGTGTAAGCTGAGCTAACTTGTGGCTACACCTGACCAGGGAGGATTTTATGCCATGGCCTCAATCATGAAGTCCTAAGGCCACATAGCTGGCCAATGTCCTGCCCGGTATAGTAGTTGTCTTGTACAGAGTGCAGGTAGAGAGTCAGTAGGGTGAAAGTTACTATGGAAAAACCATGGGGCAGAGCCAGAGACTGGTGTGGAAGGTGAAGACTCTTACACCTTTCCCTGGAGCACACCCCTAGCCACAGTGTTTGGTCCCATCTCCAGGAACCATCAACCACAATGACTCCTCTCTTTATAGACCTTCTGTGATTTTAACAGTCTGCTGCACTTGATTCAGCTCTGTACCAACTCCTGGGCCTCTGGAATCACTCTGTGATTCCCTGAATATCTCTGTCTTCCTTACTCTAAGGCCTGGGACAGGTAGTTCCCTGAATATCTCTGTCTTCCTTACTCTCAGGCCTGGGACACAAGCTACTTCCATTTTCCCCAAGTGCTGCCATCTCTCACTGCATCCTTCCTGGTTCTTTTTTCTGAAGCAAGGCTCCAAGGAGGGATATTATTTGCTTGTACCTAGAACCCCTCTACCTTCTCTTTCTTTAAAAGAAGTCTCATAAATCCTGTTACTTGATGCTTTGCTGCAGTCCAAAAGTAATACTGGTTGCTTTTCGGAGAATAAGAAAGGATGTAGACTTTTCTACCCGTGCTCATTATTCTCAGTTTGGCCCCTTCCTAACCTTACCCAGATCCAATCTCTACTCTTCTCTGCCTTGCTCTCTTCTCAAGAGGCTTGTTCCAGAGGATTTCATAGCTGGATCTCACCAGAGTAAGATGGTGAGATCTTGGGAGATCAAGATCTCCCAAGGGAGGCAATGGGAGGCACTGGTAGGAGGTCAGAAGGTGAGAAGAGATGGTCCAGGTATTTCTGTCCTGCTGCCTTCCTGCCCAGACTCCATGTCCCTCACAGTGGCTGAGTCCCTATGGCTTCTACTGGATAGCCCCTCTGCCACAACGGCAGCTCTCAGTGGACTTTGGTAACACTATTATGTCACTTGGCCTTTCTGCCTTTAGGATGGTAAGGGCTTTCTGTAGTGGTTAGTCTCAGAGCGACTCTGCATCCCTCAATAGCTTCCTTAACTCTACGTTCAAGTCTCCAAGTAGTCTCTTTACTAAAACTTTATTATTTGAACCACCTGAGTTAAATTCTGTTTCCTACCAGGTCCCTGACTGATATACACACACCACCACAATAAAGGTTGCAGTGTAGAAATTTTCAACATTATATATTGTCCAAATAGCTACTCCTTTAATCTCTTCTAGTTCTATGGTATCAGTGACCAACTAGCCTGATATTGAGGAATGGGAAGAGCTTTGACCTTGAATCCAAAAGGCTGGGATTTATTCTTCATTCTGTATGCTTTGGGGAAAAATCATTTGTTTTCCCTCAACACAGGCCTCAGTTTCCTCACTATAAAATGAGTATTAAACTAGATCACTGATTCTCAAAGTAGGGCCCCTAATCTCTGGGGATTCCTAAGACACATTCAGCTCTGTGAGGTCAAAACTATTTTTATAAAAATACTAAGAAGCTATTTACCTTTCTCCAATTATTGACATTTGCACTAATGGTGCAAAAGCAATGGTAAAATTGCACCTTAATATGATCAAGACGTTGGTACCAAACTCTACTTATTGTATTCTTCACTGCCACACACTTAAATTTTTTAAATGCCAATTCCACTTAGGAATATCCTTGATGAAGCAGTAAAAATGATTAAGTATATTAAATTCTGACCCCTGGTACATGTCATTTTAACTATTCTGAGTGATATGAGAACTGCACTTCAGGCATTTCTACTGTATGCCAAAGCAGAATGTATGTCAGTTTTGAGAGAAAGGCACTTGTGTGATTGTTTGAATTGCAGTATGAACTAGTTGCTTTTTCTGTGGAACACTATTTTTACTTGAAAGAATAATTGACAAACTGTGATTATTGAGACTGAGGCATTTGGCAGACATTTTCTCAAAAATGAACAAAGTGAGTCTGTCTCTTCAAGGAAAACAACTGACAGTATTTGTTGCCAGTGACACAATTTATGCTTTCAAGCTTGATGGGTTTCCAGTATTTAAAAACTTTTCTGATGAGATAATAATATTAACAAAAGTTATTTGTTGATATGACATAAAGAAAGTTGCCAATATCTGAACAATCTGTGTAACTCAGTGAGAGTATATATATATAAGCCTTATTTCTAAAAATGGAAGCTTTGTGTAAGGACTCAGAAGACCTTGGTTTGAAATCAGGGTCTGCCATTTTTGTGCTACTTCAGCTCCACTGTTTCATCTGTAAAACAAGTTTCCTCTGTTTCTTCTCTGTAAAATGAGTATGTAGTAATAAATGCTAATATCTGTTGAGAGAATGATATCAAACAAGTGCATAGCACCTGGTTAATGCTGGCCAAGTGTTTGCTATCACCATCATCATCATCATCATCCTCACATTAGGTGGGAGGAACTAGACATTACCTTTCTATATAGCATATGACTTCAGCGCAAAGGCTCTGGTAATAGGCAAGTTCAAATCCTAGCACTACTTACTAGCTAGTGACCTTGGGAAAGTAATTAATAATATGAACATATATAATAACATATATGAATATGCTGATTCTCATGTGATTATTGTGAGGAATAAATTAGATAATGCATGTTAGATGCTTAGCCTAGGACTTAGTTCAATAGGTTAACTCACTTAAACTAGTAATTGGGAATTTAAGAAATGTTTCTTGAAACATTACTATATCACAATTTTACACAATTATATTATGTTGTGTAAAATTATATCACAATTCGATGGCATTAAAATTTTCAGAAGGATACACAGATTTTTGCAATACTTTCAAGCCGTGATATCAGTAAACCAACTCTCTCTTAAAAAAAAAAAAAAAAAAAAAAAAAAAAGCAAAAGCTGTGCTTTATAGCATCTGCTAATTTCTGGGGTGTAAACACTCCCACTATGGCCAATTTCAACAGGAGGGTTCAAGAGGTAGCTCACAGCTACCAACACAAGGTCACTAAGTGCAGGCTTGGGAAGAAATTCTCACAGTTGTCCCTCATGAGCGGGCATGAGTTAGCTTCGGCACACCACTGCTTTCAAATATACTTTTGAGGAGGAATCATTCAATAAACCTTATTTGAGGATTCTATTCACCAGGAGCTGAATAGGAGGTTACACAAAAGCAGAGAAGACAAAGGAAGCAGAGTTTCTGGTGCCTTTGGAAGTATCTTTGAAAGTCATTGTGGTTTCTCACTAAAGCATTCAGAACTTCACCTATTTATGCACCTATGAAAACAAGACAATTCTGTATGTACTTTTAATAGTTGGAAAAGCTTTTGGAGAATGAAACCTTGGGAAGCAAGAACTTAGTTTAAAATACAATTTAATAAGAAAATCCAGGATACATGTTACATGATTCCATTAATTAAAGAAAAAAAAAACTTCCTTCTAATATAGTCTACCCAATTATGAAATTCATTTTAGATTTTTGGGAAGAGCAAATCCAACTTAAAAAAAAATAAAAACCCTGCTAAGTAGTTGAAATACTTTGGTTCCAAAGTTCAAAAAAATGAGGCAAGATTATATAGTAAGAGTAAACAAAGTGGAATTACTCATGACAATCTGTCATATTAGCCATTATGAATTTCAACATCTGCAACTGAAAAGCTACAGAAGTCAAAAAATAAAAAAAGAAGATTCCCAAGGACCACAGACTGTTTGACGATGTTACTTTAAGATTTTGCCCTCCGTTTATTTCACACAAAAAAATAAGTTAAGTATAAATAAGGAGATGAGGAGAGCTGGTATGTATTCAGGTGTGTTCACTGGTGCATACTCAGAGGGGGTGTGAGAACAGCCAAATGTCTTTCTTCTCCCACACTCACTACACAAAACTCTCCTCCATGTTGCTGCAGAGTAAGAAGGAGTCCACAAGCCGAGGCTGGACCAATTGTTGGAAGTCAGAGTCCTGGAGGCCTTCAGGACAGACCCCAGCCAATCTACGCAGAGCAGCCTGGGGAGAAGACAGAAGATGTGACACATGTCAGACTGGGCCATGTCAGGTACATGTATTTCCTTCACCTAACCTGAAATGTGCATTTCAGGAAGTGGTGCATTTACCAGACAATTTGGGCTGATTGTCATGTTGGCCATTCGGCACCTCAGTGACCATCTTTGTCACCTGGTCACCATAGCAACCTCATCTCTTGGTCACCGGGCTTTATTTGCACCTTGATCACTAAGATGTATGTCATCTGAAAGCTGTTAATAATCTTAATAATGGTCTTTATTGTGTCCAGATCCCTAGAGTATTCTTAGAACAACAATAACTATTCATTTATCCACAAATTCAACAAGATCCTGTCCAAAGCACTATAGAAAAAAGGAGAAAAGAGAGGGAGAACATATTGTAAAAGTATATAGGGATTCTGCTACTGAGAAATTCAGCATATGGCGAGGGGGATGAACAGGAAAGAGAGGTGCCCGCAGAATAAAGTTACTCCCCAGCTCCCCACACAATGAGCAATGAGTATGCTATTTTTGTGTTTATGTCCATGTGCCCTTGCTCATATTTTTTAAACTTAAGCATTTTATTGTGGCTCACAAGTCCATGTGTCAGCTGCACAGCTTTCCTGATCCAAGCCAGGTTCAGCTGATGTGTTTGCAGTCAGGCTGCCTGGTAACTGGCTGATCTATGATGGCCCAGTTGAGATGACCCCTCTGCTCCTTGAGATTTTGCACATCCCTGCAGAGTAGCACTCATTCTCATGGTAAGAGTCTAAAAGAATCAAATCTGCAGTCCAATGCTCTACCTCTGAGCTATTCCCCCTCCTCCTTGCTCATACTCTTACCTGTGACTTGAAGTGACTTCCTGCTCTAGCCTATTGTCATCTCCCTCATGAAGCCTTCCCCAATTACCCTGAAGCAGGGACAGTCCATCCCTCCCTCTCCTGTGCAACCAGGGCCCCTGGGCTGACCTCGAGCTTCTCACACCTGACTGTAACTAGCTTTTAGGTGTTTATCTCCTACACTAGATTCTGAGCTCCTTGAAAGTAAGAATCTTGTTTTCTATTTCTCTGTATCTATAGCAGACAACACAGAGGTTGGCACAGGGCTCAATAAATTTGGCTGAAAAGAAATGAATAAATGAAGTGCTTTAATATTGAGGTCTACTGTATAGCAACCTGAAACTAAATGTGAGCTGTGCACCTACCTACGAGTGTTTACCAGTTAACTGAGGCAATGTATCCTAAGTGCTGGATGAATATTAATTTATTCCCTCTTCCTAAGCATATACACAGCAGGGAACAAGGTGCCCCTCCCCTCTCAACCCTGGTAGCAAAAAGAGTAGGGGAATATCTAGAATGGCAAAAGAAGCAAAGAAAGAGGGAATGCAAACACTGAGACTCTCCCCATAGCACCTCACTTAATCCCTACATGATGCTGCAAGCTAAGTGTCATGATCGCCATTTTGGAAACAAGGAAACTAGGGCTCAGGGAGGGAAAGTGACCTTCCAGACATCACACAGGAGTCTGACTCCAGGGCATTCATACCTACGCACACAGGTAGGATGCTGCAACACCAGGATATGAGGTTATACTAAGCACAAGGCAGGAGTACCGCTCATTACCTGGACATGGCAGGTAGCCTGCTGCTGAGAAATCAGGCCAACCAAGTGAAAAGAGAGGATAGCTTGAGCTGGTTGCTGGGAGTCATAGGGGCTGTCATGTCCAGGCCAGATCAAAGAGAAGGAGCGTGTATCTCTGTGCATTAACGAGCAGGGTCTGTGACCCTAGCAACAGGAAGTAGAGCCCCCAGAACTATCTCTAACTAGCACATCTCGACTCTCATGGGACATGATTTACCCCATGGGCTAAAGAGGGTAAATGTCATAACACTTTCTGATTCTTCTTGAATCCAACTGGGAAAGATAACCCCATTCAGGTGACTGAGTTGTCACCATGAAAATAGAATCAGGGATTTTCTGAAGATGAGGAGATAAGGCAATCAATGTATTTTTGCATCGTTAGGCACTAAAAGATTAAGATCGCCTTGAATGTACCAAAATAAAAGCCACAGCAAGAGGGCACAGAGATTTTTGTCTTTTTTCCTGCAGCTGTATCCCCATAGCCTACAACAGTGAATGGAACACAGAACCATTCAGTAAACATTTATTGAATAAAATGTATAGCACTGAGTGACTTATCAAATGTCACACAGCTCATTAATGGTACGACCAAGACAGGTGTGATTGACAGCAATGCCCTGCTGTTTCTACAACTGTGCAATGCCCATAAGAAACTCCCAGAAAAGAGATGAGCTCAGCTAAAAATGGGCAGAGGAGAGGACTTTACTGTGAGACAGCTTGAAGGATCTTTAATCCATCACTTATCCCTTGTGTTCTTTGATCACAAGAGCCGGCACATTCTTCTGGAAGTTAACGGTTCTGTTTATAGAGTGGCTTCCCTGCTCCTAAAAGTTTCCAAATGGAAGCTACTCTACTTTAGGAATCCTTATGGCCCTAATCGGGAGAGTATAAAGACAAAGCATGTATTTTCTGTCTGGCACTATTGATTATTTCATGGTGGACCCCTAGCAAAAAGATGTTGGGTGAGGACTTCCCAGGACACACTTGCTTGTGTTCAAGGTGAAGATCCAGGTGGCTGGCTGAATAGTCCACTCTGTCTTGTCATGTTCCTTCTCGTTCTATCCCACAAAGAAGGAGGAAGCTACAATGCTGGAAAAGCACCAGCAGATGTGCTCCCTGTAGGGAGAAATGGAGGTTTTTCTCACTTCATTACCTTTGAAATAGGCAGGAGATATCCCTATCCTAGCTCATATGTTCTGCAGGCACCATGACATAGATACCACTAGCTAGCATTCCAGAGGAACCTCAAAGGTTCCTGGTTCCTAAAATTGTAGAGCAGAGGGAAGAGGGGGTTTCTCAGCCCCCATCTTTCACACATATGACCTCCTATAATTTTCATCACAATTTTATGAATCAAGTGAAACAAATATTACAATGATCACAATCCTAAAGAAAAAAGCTGAAGCCCAGAGAGGTTTTATGGCTTACTGAAGCCAGCTACAGCACAGCCAGTTCTCCTATGCCCCTGGTATGCCTCCCAAAGGCCAGGGGAAAAGCCGGGGGAAGACTGAAAACTCACCAGGCAGGCCACGAGCACAGCGTCACTGCTGTTCCTCTCTGACGGGGATCTGCAGAGCTCGATGAGACGGGACATGCCTGTAGGAGACACAGAGAGCCTCAAGCCCAGGATGGGGCCTAGCGAGGCCTGAAAAGGTACTGGGCCTCCTTTGCACACCCAATCTGCCAGAGAAGGGGGATGAACCCACCTGGGGGAGTCTGTGATGGAAACTTTCTACACCCTCAGTGATGAACAGACCCTGGTCAGGGTCAGGCCAAGCTGAAATATGCAAGCCAAACCCACAGGTGCCACAGCAGCCACTGGCTGCTAAGACCAAGCTTAGTTAAAACTGTGGCAGAGATAGTGCTCATGTCACCAAGAAAGGACTTCCTATTCAGGCATTTCTGATTTTACCAGAGCTATGTTTAATATTTGAATCTTTAGCAGACAAAATTCCTAGCTATACCTTTTTTTCTCAAGTGCCTGTTTCGGTCAGAAAATATATTGTGGCTAAAATAACAGAAAACTACAGACTCTACTAATATTTCCTAGGGCTTTACTGGGGAGAGTTAAGTGAATGACTTAGCTTTTCAATGCAGACTGACTTCTTTCAACTGCAAGGAAAAAAAACTCTCCTTATAACATAGTAGTAGAAGGTATACAAATGCAGTCTGTGTGTCCATCCTCTGTAAGGTCCTGAAGGAGTGGGAACCCTCTGCTGCCCCAGGCCACCTATCACTGTCCCTTGGGGTACCTGGATGATTGACGACACTGCCATGCCTTTTCTCATGCTTCTTCCTGCAGAGCCTTTTCTCAGCCATCACATGGGAGTAACTTTTATTTACCCATCAAACCACAGCAGAGGACTCACCCCCTTGTTAAAACATTCTTTGACCCACACAGATAAACACGGGCTACTTCTTCTGCATGTCAAATGTACCACGGACATGCTTTGAGTGTCACTCCCATGATTCTGAAGTGAGAATATCTCTTTATCTGTCACGTCTGTGAGGCTGTGAGCCCCTGTGATCAGAACAATGTCATATCCAATGTTACATGCCCAGTGCTCAGAAGACAGCTTAGCATAGGGAGGATGCTCTGAAAATATTTGTTGGGTAAATAAGTAACTAACTGAATGAATTAGCATGTTAACGGGTAAATGAATGAATGAATGAATAATGAAGTCATGAATGGGTTAATGAATAAATGAACTAAAGGATAAATTAATGAATAATTGAACAAGTGAGTAGATAGGTAAACAAATGAGTAGATAAATAACTGAGCAAGTGAAAAAATGAATGAGTGAATGAAAGAATGGGGTTCTTATTAAGTCTGCAGGTGAGTCACTGTTCTGGCTTTCATTTCTCTAGGTCCTCTCTCCCTTTTGCTTCAGCCCCAGGTTACAAACTAGACTAGGGGCTGTACCCTGAGCCTCCATCCCAGCATTTTCTAGCCCCCAGAGATAGGGCTTACCCTAGCCAGCCCTTGCCCTGTGTCCACTGCTGCCACCATGAAATCAGAGCTGCTCCCACCCCCAAACCCCATACTTTACTCCAGCCACAGCCAGCAAGCACTACTCACAGCTGAGCCGCACGGCCTCCCGTGCCACATCTGGGTCTCGGCTGAGACGGGCCAGGGTCACTGCAGCTTTCTGCTGGACTCTCTCACAGGCTGCCACCTCAGCGGGGGTCCCAGACCTTGGCTTTTCAGACAGCATACCCATGATTAGCTGGACCCCTAGGCAGGAGAAAAGGAATAGTTGGTACCTACCCCCAGCATGAAGCCTTCCCCATAGGGCCAGCGGGACAGATGGATGCAGGGTGCAAGCAAAGGTTGTCAGGATGACTTCAGGGGTCTCACCCAGAGGGAGGAAGCTGGACAAGGCCACTCCTCCATGCCTTCTACTCCTGAGGGT